AATTGACACTGAATACTGCCCAGATGAAGGGCTCTTCAGTCTGGGATGTTTTTCCTCAAAGACCAAAGTACTCAACCAACCATCCTTGACCTTCAATATGCTGATGACTGCACCATCCTTGTGTACACCAAGGAAAGCCTCCAGACTGCATCTGATCTCTTCAAAGTAGTCTACCAAACTCTAGGCCTCTCTCTCTCTCAACACTGAGAAGACTACAGTACTCAAGATCTGAAACAGGAAGTTCCCAGGTCTCTACAAGGCTCACACTGCTAGCCTAGATTTTCATATGCAGAACGCATTAAAAGCCTGTAGGCTCACAGCACATTTTAGGAAAGAGATCTTAACTGCTTCTATAGCATGAGAATGAAGTCTCCTCAAAATGCACATAAAACAAGAACTGCTTCTTCCTTAAGCCAAGCCATCACAGCTCAACTACAGGCAAATGGATATGGCTCAAATAATGGCCTTTGGCCAGCAATGGCAATATGCAAAATTTTATGGTCCCACAAACTGTCAGGAGCCGTCATGATTTCTCAGTCTCTGCCATACACCAAATTTACTGTACAGTGGAAAAAGCTGTTGTTATCTTCAGCAGAAGTCTTATTAGCCATGACCTTAAGTATTACACTTCAGTATACCATGGGTTGGTTTTTTTTGTGTGCATATAAACATGCCCCACAGTATAATATGCACCTAGTTTGAGGCCAAAAGAAGAAAACAAGTTTCCTTAGAATATTCAAGTAGCAGCAGCTAAGGAACACAGCCTGCTCATTCTTCTGCTCCCTATGAGAACTTGACTTTCACTTTTGCTCAACAGGCAGAAGCCATTCTTACCATATTTCTTGGGGAAAAAAAAATACAGGCTGTAATTTGCAGCAGTTTTTTTTTTTTTGGGAAAGAAGTGCACATGCCATACAAGAAAACATGTCAGAAGTCATTATTCTTTATACCAGTCATAGGCTGCAAGTTTTCTAGGCCACATTACTTTACCAAGAGGATACCCTTTTGTAAGATTCTGCCATGCAGGATGCATTTGTGTATGTGAAACTTCTAGTGTTCTGGAAGCATTAAATGATCAGTTATGGGCATCTATACCTTTCCCATACCCTCCACTCTTCCAATGCATGCACGCATACACATATATACACATGGCTTTCCAGTTGAATGCTATGAGAACATCTTGCCATTTCAACTGGGTCATTATTACCTTCCTTCAGGGAGGCTGTGCGTCGCCTTGTTCGTTTTCTCCCTTTGTGATCTTCCTCCAGTATCTTGTCATCAAAGCCAGTGAGCTCAATCGTTTCAGACTGACTTGTAGGTCCAGCAGAGAACCATTCAGGCTCCTCTTCAGTGTAGGAATCATTCCTTCTACGTTCTCCAAAGACACGTTTGCTATCCCCAAATTCCCTCTGAAGTGGGTTGTTTTAACAAAGAGAAAGGAAATTAAGTTAGAAAAAATCTGACACTAGTTATTTCCTCCTTAGGAATTAGCTCCCATTACTTTCTTTTTAAACATGAAACAGCAAGTTCAGACAGGAGAGGACTAATTGCATTTTCATACCTCTCCCCAGTCTATTGATTTTCAGAATGTTTCAGAAGTTAGTTTTTGCTACCTGAGCTACTGCATACCTGGAAAATGATCATGACAGCTTATATTTTTACTTTTAATTAAAATCTTAGGAGGGGAAAATAAAAGTAAACCAACCCCCCCATAGGTGTATACACTCAAAACACCTGTGTATACACCCCTTACTCCAACTCTATTTACTTTGGCAATATTATACATTTAGTTCTTTACACTTGGTACATTTACTATGTAAAGTTATACATTTAGCCCCCAGTCACTTAATGTTCTTTTCTACAGATGTTCTATTTTCTCTCTACACATTTCTGGTAATGAGGCATCTTGATCCATGATAATAACAAACTGATCATGTTCTATGGTCCTTGTAGGAAAACTATTCATTATGCATTTTAACAAACTATGCACTCCATAAGATTGTGATTGTTTTGTTGCATGTTACAAGGGATTAAGAGACATGAAAACATTTGTACTTCCCCTTTTAGCAATAATGCTACCTCCATCCCTTTCCTACTCTTTACTGGATTGGCTACAGATTACAGCTAGGCATTATTTGTCCTACTCCCTCCCACCCCCAAAAGAGGAAGCACAAACCTGAACATATAGTCAAGACTATGCATCTTTGTTTTGGGGTTTGTTTGGTTTTTTGTTTTTTGTTTTTAAATATACCAGCTTCTAACTTAGTATTGATAAGCCACTAGCACACTAACAAATAATCTGTTAACACTAAATATAACCCAGATCATTCAACTGAGTGGAATTCCATAACTGACCTCCATGACAAATATTTGTCTTAAGGAGATTTAAAGAAGTGCCACAGAAGAGAGTCCATATACAGAAAATACTGGGAGTGCTTGGACTCGAGGCAAGATAAGAGTTTACAAAATTATTAGTTAGGAAGAGATAGGTCAAGAAGTTTGTCCTCACTAGAAGGGAAAGTGGGTACTTAAACTGAAAGATGGCTCCAAGGCAGCAAACAAAACACCAACATACAACTAGCCTGTTGAACTCCTTGCTGTAAGGCATTGAGGAGAATAGCTTTGCAGAATATGCCAACTTCTAATGTGGGCTTCTATTTCTTAGTTGACTACTTTAAAGATCCTTAATCTTTGTCCAAAGTGTTTAGAAGCCAGTGTCACAGACAAGATATTGGATAAAATGGGCTATCTAACCCAGCAGGAACACAGCTATATTCTTACATGTTAGTTCCCACACAGGATATTTAAGTTAATTTGAAGATTTTAAGTAAGAGCTGTGTAAGTGAAACAGAGTTCCCAAAGACAGCTGTACCAAGTTTCAGTGTCACCCACAGACAAGAAGTTTTGTTTAAGTCAGACTTGGCTTTTGAACAGTCTCTCAGATGGTACAAGAGCTATTAAACCTTTACTAGTACCAGAGATTTGAGTCATCTAGTCTATCCACACTTGGATTACAAGTGCCACATCTAGTCTACTTGATGTGTCCCACAATCACAAAATAAATTATCACAACCTTATTAAGATTCTCTATGAAAAACAAGATAAAAGCAAACCCTGAAACGTTTATCTTTGTAATCCCTTTCACGATCTCGGTCTCTTGCATCTCTAGAATCACGCATGTCCTTGTCACCACCTCGGTGGTCTTTATCAAAGTTACGAGCAGAGATGATTCTCCCACTGCCAATCCTACGTCCACCAATAACACGGATGCCATCGTTCTCCTTCTCCAATGGGCTCCCTGCACGACGTGAGCCAACAACTGCAGTTACATGGCAACCTCCTCCAAAGCTTCGCCTCTGTGGGCTTAAGACTACATCCAAGTCATCTTCCTTTACTCGCTCCCTAGGATCTGCAAATAGCGAAAAGTTTATTTTTAATATGCACTAGTTTCTCTAGAACTATTATCAGTACAATGCAAGTCTGCCAACAAGCCTGCAAAATCAGAAAACAGGTTGAAGACAGTGCCATATTCTAGTTTTAGCTTTAGTTATTTGAAAAATGGATGTTCATTCCCCATAAAGAATATTGTAAATCTCTACCCACGTACTAATACAAAAAAAAGTCTAAATAGCTGAAGTTCAGAGTCTTTTTGCATCTTGCAACCTTAAGCTGTTGTCAGAGACAAAGCAGTCTGGGAAATGATTATCTGATGACCTACCACATTCATAAAACCGTACAGTACATATTTAAAGGACTCCACCCCACCACCTCAAAACATCACAGTATGCACTTTGTTTATTGCTGTTAATCACATGAGATGGATTCACCTAGTTCTTAACAACAATTATATAGAAATCTATCAGTGAAGCAAAGAACCAAAATAAACTAGCAACTTTAAAAAAAACCACCACAGAACAAAAACTTGTCTGAAGAAGGTTAGTAGGTTGGTTGTAAGCACTCACTCCAGTCTACCTTAAATGCTTCTATTGTTGCTAGAGTAAGTAGGATTTTCATAAATTGTCATTTTAGAGGCATTTCAAGGAGCAGACACATTTATAAAGATCTTGTTCCCTCTTCTCAATGTCATTATCCTATTGTTAACAGTAAATACAGTTCTCTCAGTATCCTGTTTTTTGACCAAGAGCCAAGTATGTTTTAAGAATGGCACTCACCTACTATCCTGCGCATGAGAGAAGTCCGGTCTGAATCCAAGTCTTTTTTGAACCCTTCCACTGGTGATGTTCGCCCCGAGCTTGGATATAGAGATGCATGCCACTTTTCAGGGTCCCAAACTCCATCACTGTACAAACAGAATTGCAGGAATTAAAAGTTCCCACAACATTTAAGTGAAGACATTCTTTAAAAAAAAAATCACCATTAAGCATGAAGGCAAGTATCTTCAAGAGAAAATCAAATTGATTTTCTAGTTGTATAAAATTTGGGTTTCCTTTCATCCCAATGTATTAAGATGTTAGACAGACCTCCCCACCCCACAACCCTTTAGCAAGCTGTTACTGGCAACCAGTCTTGGTTAATGAAGAGGGGAGGGGGGGCAGAAAAGTATGGTTGCCATTTAACATACGCCACCAAATCAGCCAGACTCATGTGTTGGTCAGTCCAACTCCCACCCTGTTCTCCCACTGTACTAGTTGTCCTTTAAAATCAGAAGATTAAGTATTGACCGTATAAATTTCAGTTTCTTTAGTTCTTTCCAGATTCAATTTCTTAACATCTTAAACCCTTCGCATTACAGTACAAATGTAACATTTTATTTACAGCAGTGTTTTTGACCAGAGGCATTATGTTGGTTAAGGAATTCACAGAGTAGAAAGCTTTTGCATTTTAAAACAGAGGCAATAAGAAATGCTCCTAAAGGTAATACCATGGTGAAAGAACTCAGTGTTGAGACCAAGCACTGAGATCCAAAACATGGTTTGTAGACAAAACTATCTACGTGGCATTTATTTGCCCCCCAAATACCCCAACTGCTCTAGCTATATCTGGCAGTTTAAGATAAGTTTGAATGGTATTGGCATTCCAGGTTTCCAGCAAGATGCAGTACCATGCTAAGCACAGCTCTAGTATGCTCTAACACCAGAGTAAGTTTCTTTGAGAACTGAGAATTCATTCAGACTGTACCACTGGCATGAGGGGTCAGGAAGAAGCGATATTGATGAATACAAAGCATTTCCTACTGAAACACTTTGTTAAGCAAGGCTTGTACTACTATACAGTATTACACTAGGTGCATTTTTCTCAAATTAATTTATATTCCATATTTTTTTCTAGCCGCAACAAGCTAAAAATCTTACCATGTCTAGATCACACCACACAACCTGATGTTTCCAGGAAAACATTAGCACACCAAGCCTTGGCAAGATGCAAGTCAACTATACCATAGTTTCTCAACTTGTGGTACATGCACCCCTGGGGGTATGCAAGACAGGCAGGGGGATGCAGGTACCCCAACACACTCTCGCACCCTCTTTTCCTCTCAAAACTATGGCAAAAAATTGGTGCGCTGTGCACTGAGCTGCACTTTAAATTCTCCAGTAATAATTTGGCATGCCACACTGTGGCACTGGGTTCAGCCCTCCTAGCTTTGGCCAACATCACCTCTAGCCCAGGTACATGCTTAAGTTGTGCACCCCTGGTGTAAAAGGTGACAACCCTACCCACACCAGATCAGACATCTGTCATATCATCACCTTATACACACAGCCCTTCTTCCAGCACATTAGTCTGTAAACATAAAATCCCCTGGAAAACTGAGTGTTGGGGTACTTATTAACATTTTCAGAAGTTAGGGGGTACTTGCTACTTAAAAGGTTGAAAAACACTGAACTACACTGTGCTATGTATAGCTTCAGAAGTGATTTACAGAGAGTCTCACTGCAGTACAGTACTGCTACTTGATAAACAGACCTTTAAGAAGTCAGATGTACTCTAAGCCATCTACACAATTAAAATATTACCTGTCGTATTTTTCAGAAAGACACGAGGGCCTCTGCTTAGAATAAGGACGTTCCTTAATATCCAAGAGTTCTTCCTAAACACAAAAAACCCCCCAAAAAT